TGAGGTTTAGGGGGGTGAGTGTAACGGAGGCCAGCTAGTAGTTGCTGTGCGAGTAAACCTCACTTCCCGATCTCAAAAGGCGCTCTAGCGACAGACACTAGAGGCTGCAGTCTTTAGCCTCCTTGTTAGCGCGCCTGACTCTCATGCCGAAGACCCGGGTTCGAGGCCCACTCGGAGCGGGGCGAGTAGGACCCGGGTGTAAGGGGTTACATTGAGAAGATCTAAATTTTTACTATTATTAGGAGGGCTTTCTGAAGTGTACAGTCTAGCATAATAGTCTGAGAAAACCAGGTTAATTTCAGCCAGTTCCGTTACCAAATCACCTGTTGGGGATCTGATACCCGAAATCCATTTTGAAGCGCTAGCCGATCGAGCCTGGTAAGCCAAGAGTTTACCAGCCTTGTCTCCATGCTCAAAAAAAAAGCTGTCTACATTGCCTAAGCTGTCTCTCTGTTAGATCTGTCAACTGAAGGTTGAATTCTGAATGTAATTGAACTCTTTTTGCATAGAGGGTAGGTGAAGGGGAAGAGGCATAAGAGACATCTAACTTAGACAGTTCGTCAGCTATTGTAGCTAGTCTAAGTTTTATCGCTTTCCCCATCTGTGAGGAATATGAAATTACCTGGCCACGAATGAATGCTTTAAAAGCCTCCCACAAAGTGTGGCTGCTAATGTCTGGAGTCTGATTGAGTTCGAAGTAAAAGTTTATCTGCGAGGAAAGGAAATCTTTGAATGCATCTGATAGTCTAGAAGAGTTGAATCTCCAGGGTGGGGGTGATGGTCTGTTAGATGGTAAAGTTATGTCAATAGATACTGGGGCATGATCAGAGACACTAATGTGTGATAAGTGCATGATGTAATAGAAAGTCTGTAATAGAATGTATGTCATGTGTCAATAAAAAGAATAATAAATCTAGAAAATGTATGATGAACAGGAGAAAAAGAATGCATAGGCTTTGCCTTGAGGGTTTTTAAATCTCCAAGGATCTGAGAGTCCTAGTTGTGAGGCGTTATTTAGCACCACACTGGCCGATTTTGTTAGAGTAGACTGTTTAGAGGAAGACCTGTCCATGGATACATCTTGAACCAAGTTAAAATCCCCTCCGATAATTATATGATGTTCATCTACCTTGGGTAAGCTTGAAAAAAACTTCACGAAAAACTCCTTGTTATCCCAGTTGGGGGCGTATATGGAAGCTAAAATTACTGGTATGTTACGGAGCTTGCCCGAGACCATAACAAAACGGCCATTTGGATCTATAATAGTCTCAGTGTGTTCAAACATAACTCTTTTATGAATAATGATAGCAGCCCCGTGAGCTCTCTGAGTGAAATTTAGAATGCAAGAAGTGCCCCATCCATGATCTCTTGATACGGAGTATATCTACTGTTCACAGGTGAGTTTCTTGTAGAAACATAATGTCTGCCTTAAGGTCTCGTAAATGGGATAAAATTTTACTAGCTTTGATGGCACTGTTCATCCCCTTGGTGTTCCAGGACACTAGGCGCAGGTTCCCATCCCCTAACATGTTGGTATTAACCATGCTGAGAGGTTAACGAAACAGGACAGCTCTGAACTGGTAGAAAGCATACTGAATCCAAACATAGGAGAGAAAATGACAGAAAGAGAGAAAAAAAAAGTAAAGGGAGACCAAATTCCCCAACACCCCCCATCCCAGAACTAACCACCCCCCACCCACCTTCAACAACTAACTTTTCTGAGCACTTAGTCTCGACTACCGCTACCAGTTCTATCCTTCTGGATCTTATTCCGCTGAACAAATAGTAAGCCCTAAAAAACTTGAACAAGTCCAAAACATAACTTTTTATAGCATGAAAGTACAAAAGGGAAGAGCCCTAGTACACCAAAATAAAAATAAATAAATACATTGAATAAAAATAATTCTATATAAAAAATAATAATAATAGTTTTAAAGGTGCCAGCTACGAGGCAACCACTAGAATAAGCAATACAATAGCTTGGAAGGGAAAAAACAGACAGACAAACAAAAATAAATAGGTAAATACATTTAAAAAAAACAAAAAAAAACATGAAGATAAATAAATCGGCTAGACTCTCCAAACACTTGAATATACACTCACCGGCCACTTTATTAGGTACCCCATGCTAGTAACGGGTTGGACCCCCTTTTGCCTTCAGAACTGCCTCAATTCTTCGTGGCATAGATTCAACAAGGTGCTGGAAGCATTCCTCAGGGAGTTTGGTCCATATTGACATGATGGCATCACACAGTTGCCGCAGATTTGTCGGCTGCACATCCATGATGCGAATCTCCCGTTCCACCACATCCCAAAGATGCTCTATTGGATTGAGATCTGGTGACTGTGGAGGCCATTTGAGTACAGCGAACTCATTGTCATGTTCAAGAAACCAGTCTGAGATGATTCCAGCTTTATGACATGGCGCATTATCCTGCTGAAAGTAGCCATCAGAAGTTGGGTACATTGTGGTCATAAAGGGATGGACATGGTCAGCAACAATACTCAGGTAGGCTGTGGCATTGCAACAATGCTCAATTGGTACCAAGGGGCCCAAAGAGTGCCAAGAAAATATTCCCCACACCATGACACCACCACCACCAGCCTGAACCGTTGATACAAGGCAGGATGGATCCATGCTTTCATGTTGTAGACGCCAAATTCTGACCCTACCATCCGAATGTCGCAGCAGAAATCGAGACTCATCAGACCAGGCAACGTTTTTCCAATCTTCTATTGTCCAATTTCGATGAGCTTGTGCAAATTTTAGCCTCAGTTTCCTGTTCTTAGCTGAAAGGAGTGGCACCCGGTGTGGTCTTCTGCTGCTGTAGCCCATCTGCCTCAAAGTTCGACGTACTGTGCGTTCAGAGATGCTCTTCTGCCCACCTTGGTTGTAACGGGTGGTTATTTGAGTCACTGTTGCCCTTCTATCAGCTCGAACCAGTCTGGCCATTCTCCTCTGACCTCTGGCATCAACAAGGCATTTCCGCCCACAGAACTGCCGCTCACTGGATGTTTTTTCTTTTTCGGACCATTCTCTGTAAACCCTAGAGATGGTTGTGCGTGAAAATCCCAGTAGATTAGCAGTTTCTGAAATACTCAGACCAGCCCTTCTGGCACCAACAATCATGCCACGTTCAAAGTCACTCAAATCACCTTTCTTCCCCATACTGATGCTCGGTTTGAACTGCAGGAGATTGTCTTGACCATGTCTACATGCCTAAATGCACTGAGTTGCCACCATGTGATTGGCTGCTTAGAAATTAAGTGTTAACGAGCAGTTGGACAGGTGTACCTAATAAAGTGGCTAGTGAGTGTACACTGTATAGGCTACAGAAGGCTATATTGGAGACAGACATGCATCGATTTAGTTTTGTCGACTGTATATTCAGGTTTCAGGTCAGCACACACAGGCCTATGCTATGGTTCTCGAGTCGAGAACTGGTTGTTGCAGTTCTTGAATCACTAGTACAGAACCAAGAACTGTTTCTTTCGGACACGTTCGATACGGAGAACCGATGAGCTGGAGATACTGCGCATGCGTGATAGCACCGTCTCTGAACAGAACTTTCTTTCGGCCGGCTGATCCTGTGCTGATATACGAGCACGCAGTAGTACGGGTGAACCCAGGACTTAAATGAGAGGGCGAATCGGCGAAATGTAAGTTTATTTAATAACAAATAAAATGATGAAGACCATTTATGCATTTTATATATTTAAAACATGTAAAACATCCGCGTTAGCACATCGCCTAGGCTGCAGCAGGGTTCGTTTTCAAAATGTAAATGTAAGAAACTTATCCAAGATGATTATGACAATGCATACTATTATTTAACTGAAGTTGTGATTACAAATGCCCTTTAATTTGAAGTATTTTTATCCGCCGGGATGATAGAATTGACGTCATTACGTGATGACGTAAAAGAACTGGTGAACCGGTTTTTTGAACCGGTTCATTAAAATGAACTGTCCGAAAGAACCGGTTCGCGGAAAAGAACCGGACTTCCCATCACTAGAATCCATTTGGTATTTTTGCGTTTTTTCCCGCAAAGGTTTAATAAATACACAACGGACTCGGTGTGCAACCCAGATAGCAAACTGACATTGAATCAACGTGGAAATATGACATCGAAACAACGTTGATCTGACATTGTTTTGCTCATCGAATTAACGTTGAACCAACGTCAGACGCGTCATTCTTTCAAAACTAATGGAAAATCAACTTGAAATCAACGCGTTGTTTCAACGTTATGAAAGCAAACCAATTTTCGATTTTCATTTAGCTTTGAAGAATGCCGCGTCTGACGTTGGTTCAACGTTAATTCGATGAGCAAAATCAACGTTGTTTCAATGTCATTAGAGACGTCGTTTCCACGTTGATTCAATGTCAGTTTGCTGTCTGGGAAGGTTTCTATGCGTGACGAATTTTTAGGCTGACGTACACGAAAATACGCATACGAAAATTTCGTATTCAGTATGCAATGGCCTTAAATATCGGGATAGCGTTTTCAACCGTGGAAAGAGCTAATGCAGCAGAAAGATTTCAGAAGAGACGCTGAAGTTGCCTGCTTTCTCCTCGATAGGTTAGTCAATGTTACAGTCTTACTTAATTTTTTAGTCATTGCTTGGTTGTGTACTTTATTATATAGACAGTATAACATTTATAGGTAAAAAAGTTAAACAAGGTCTTTGATGAATAGCAGCTATTGACTACTCGCAGCTATTGTGAAGGAAGGTGCTAAAAACAAGGTTTGTAAGTTAATTCTTTATAACCTATAAATTCAGTAAGAATATAGAGATAATGATTGTAAGAAAATATTGAAGAAAATATTGCTCTCTGTAAGAATTTCTATAGCTTTCTTTTTTTATATAAATGATCAATTAGCTAAAATTGTGATTTTGCTATGTGGATAAGATTTTACAGAGAATTAAAATTAATTTATACAGCTAGACACATAAATTGTACACATAAGTTAACACATAAGTTGCTGTTTTTTTTTAAGTTACAAACCTGTTCACCCGGAGAAAAACTCGATGAAGTGTTACCACAAGACATCCTGTCATAGCATTTTTGGTATATAACGGCAACCATAGATGCAATACGCACTTGAAAAAGCGAGGCGCTGGAGAGCAAAATTCGTTTGAATGCAAAATACTATTTAACCACTAGATGGGGGTAATTCCTACACAGAGTCCCTTTAATGATTTTGAAGTAATGCCTGATGTTTTGAAAGCCTGTTTGCTTTTTTGTGTTTTTTCTAGTTTCCTTTTAACATGTCTGAATAAACATTATTCTATTTTAAGTCTGTAGCATGTGGATTTATTTATTGAACAGTAAGTATATCTGTACCATTCTGGAGAAAATTAGTAGTGTAGGATTTTTGTACCCCCCACAAGCCAGCAGATATGTCAAGTGCTGGGTCCAGTGAGACAGGAGGAGTTGAGACAGAAACGAGGCGAGTCAGCGCGGAGTTAGGGAGAGAAGGCATGCAGACATGTAGAGGAGACACGGATGCAGGGGCAGTCCGAGAAAACATGGAGGCAGTTAGAGGAGACACGGAGGCAAGGAGAGGAGACACAGAGGCAGGGGCAGTTCGTGACAACACGGAGGCAAGGAGAGGAGACACAGAGGCAGGGGCAGTTCGAGACAACACGGAGGCAGGTAGAGGAGACACAGACACAAGAGCATCAGTAGCAGGACAGGGAGTGCAGTGCTACAAGTGCAACCAGCTTGTGGAGGCAGAGAAATTTTCAGAGCACCTGTCTGACCACCACACGGATGAGATGTGTGACACCTGTGGGGCACAGGTGCAGGGTACTGTTGGTCTTTTGAACCATATCCAACAGGTTCACTATGCAGCATTCATAATGCCATCACCTCAAAAGCCACCACCGAAGCACTATAAAAGCACTACAACCACAAAAGTGCTACCAGTATCATCACAGACAACGCCATCTCTGCTCCCCCCATTAAGTAGCTCAGCCAAGCCAAACCACACAGCAACTCCACGAACTTCAAAACCTACTTCAAACAACTGGAAAGGTTTTCTTCCTGAGCAGTTTCGGAGAGTAGTCCAGGAAGCAGATCAGGTGTGGATTGCAAAATGCTTATATGAGGCTACAGGCCAGCTGAAACCCAAAATCCAAGCCTGCTGGTTTCACCCCCCACTGGAGCCCAAACCATCTCCCCCTGAGCCTGGGTGGTACTACTGTCAGAGAATGTTCATCTGGGCACCAATGAGGATGTGGGGGATTCCTTTAAAATGCCCACAATGTTCCCGTAAAATGAACAGCTCCGGGATCTACAGAAAGGTCAGGGAGGTGATTGATGTAGATAGCCACTACTACCTAGTGGGAGGTGACTATCCACGTTGCAGCAAGTGCTCTCAGCCGGTCTGCCCATGGAGCCAGGAGATACTCTCGCAGGTGGATGTGGCACACAGGAGCCTGTTCCCCGCTGTCCTGACAACACAGCTGGCTCTGGACAGGAAATGTGTGACTTTCCTTAAGCCAAGGACCAGTGGGAACAGTTCCTCCTACCTCCAGTCTGCAATAGCGGAAGCGCACAGCGAGGAGTGGGCACGGCAGACTATCCGCTACCTCTCAGACTGTGAGCGTCACATGAAGATGGCTACCTTCATCCCCTCTGCAGCTGTGTATCTTCCTCCGCCACCCTTCAGGCCCCTTCCACTTGCTCAATGGTTCGAGACGGTCCACTCCAACGACATCCTCAGCCATGTGGATGAGATGAAGGGAGTGATCACTTCTACCTATGGTAGAATTCTTAAAATGGATTCAACAAAGAAGGTTAGGGTTTCAACAGTAAAAAAAGTATATAAAATAGAACATTTATAATTACAACAAAACAGGAAATTATTTTACTTCTTAATGTTTTTGTTTGTTTTACAGATCACCAAAAAGCTGGCTGGCAGGATCGGGGACAGTGCTGCATGGATGTCAAACATCGGAAATGAGTTTGGCCAGGTGTTGAACTGTGTTCTGACGACGGGTGAAGGTGCAGGGTTAGAAGAGTTGTGCCAAGGCATCGTCACTCGGTACAAGAATGCGGGCCAAGCTGAACCTGAGGTCATCTATGTCGACCGAGATTGCTGCAGCCAGTCAGGTGGGTGAATTCTCTCTCTCTCTCTCTCTCTCTCTCTCTCTCTCTCTCTCTCTCTCTCTCACACACACACTGTTAGAACCATGTGTATTAAATATATATATGTAATACAAATGCCACTTGTGGGAGAAGTGGTACAGGGAATTGGGAGTTTACGTAATTATGGTGTAAGTACAGGTGTTGTGGTCTATGTTATTATGGTTGTTTTTCACAGGTGTGTCTTCAGTGGCTAAGCTCTTTCACCCATGGAAGTCTGCAGTGCGCTTAGACAGCTTCCATTTTATGAGACGCTTTAACTGTGGGCTCACTACAGAACACCACCCTCTCTATGGCACCTTTTGTGCAAAGCTTTCCTCCTGCATTTTTGAATGGGACCAGGAGGATGTGCAACGCCTGAAGGAGGCCAAGAGAGCGGAGTGGAAGAGCAGCCACAGCGGACATGCTCCCACTGAAGAACAGCTCGTGGCCACCATCAGCCCAGGGGAACTGAAGAGACACTGCAGGAGGAGGACGCGTGGAGTGGAAGAGATACGGAGCATGATTTCAGGGCTGCTGGAATCAGTGTGGAAGCTGACAGACACCACAGGACTGCGTCTAGTGAGCCATGACAACATGCGCCACGTGTGGGAAGTGCAGCAGAAGCACCTGGGGTCCCTCCAAGACCCTCCAGGTGTTGCACTGTACACAAAGGTGGGGACACTCCAGAAGGGTGGCAAAGAGCTGGACATCCTTAGGTGTGGTAGGGGGTCCTCCTCCCTGGAGAGTTTTCACCGACATCAGTGTGCTTTTATTCCAGGTACATTTGCATCAAGACATACTGTATTGTATGTATTTTTTAAATGTTATTTTCTGTTATGTGTTGTAATTTTTCAAAATAACACAATTAACACTGTCGGGTATTCATATGTATTCACTTTATAATAATGGTTAATAATAATGAACAAATAAAAACAGAGTATTTTGTTTCTTAGGCTGGCGGTGCAATGCTGTACACATGCAAATGTATATGCTGGAGGGGGCATCAAGATGGAACATGGGCCGGGCCAAGGAGGCAGTAGATGTGGAGGGGGCCTCAAACCTTAGAAGCTTTGATGTTCACTTGATGTCCCAACTTAATAACTTAAGCCAGCTCGTCCATGGTTGTGCTCTGGTGCCAGAGATCACTCTACCCGGAAAATCTACTGGTAAGAGAGATCACAGAGCAACACTGGTTGACCAGAGTATTACATCCCCTCCTCCTCTTTTTCTTAGGCACCCCCCTACTCAGAGGACATGCATTTCTTGGGTCTGAAGATTGTACTATTCATGTAGGATATGTATGAGTGTATGTATGTCCTTTCTTAATCTTCGTGTTTTATACTGGTTACAGGCGAGCGCATAGCAGTGGAATATTTATTGGCCCAGACCAACAGAGGTGACCTGCTGGCTCCATCGCAGGTCTCTGAAATCCCATCGCAGGTGCTTGAGGAGGAGGATGAGCTAGATGACACCATCAGCACGCTTGACATTGTCTGCCAGTCAGCTGAGATAGGGGCTGGTGATCCCCCAAGTGCTGTGGCGGATGACACTGAACCCGGACCCCTCATCACGGAGGTCAGTAACACTTTCCGTAACACCTTACTCAAAAACACAATATTTCACTGAAGTAAATGTGGTTTCATTTTAATAAGATAAATGAATGTAAAATCAGCATTACTCACATTTTAGAGACAAGAGAGTACATTTATTTGGTTGTTGTTGTTTTTTGTTTGTTTTTTCACTTATCACTTTTCAGACCAGCCAATGTGACTCGAGGGGCGTTGTGGGATGGGAGGCAGTTGATGCCCTTGCAGCCTACCTAGTTGGCTTGAATCGTACCATCACCGCCTTGTCAGCCAAGGAGGAGACGGACATAGTCCACCTGTACACAGCTCTCCATGCCATTGACAAGACACCTTCAAGGTACAAAATAGTAATTAAAATAGTAATTAAACATTCCATGGAATGAATGAAGCATATGGATGTCTCTTTCACCGTTTAGGTACACCCAGAAAGCTAGTGCGTCAGGAGGACCGTGGAAAGCACCCAGGAAGCCGAGTGGCTCTGCTCCCGGACAGCAGGCGGCAGAGAGGTGCTTGACCACAATTTGCTATCATTTTGGTTAAATACAAATAATTGATTAAGAGACAGCACATGTCACTGTGAAACATATTTATTAAGTGAAAATTATTTTATTGCAATGCCTATTGACATTGTATCTTGGTTCTTCATCACTTTACATCCTTGTTCACAGTCCAGATCATATCATCCTTCTCTCCCATAGACTATACATGACTCACGGCCAAGCAGCGCAGGACCCCGAAGTACACAGGGTCAGTGAGTGTGTTTGCCTCAGACTTGCCAAAGAGTTTGAGCAGTCACGCAACAGGCCAAAGGACACAAAGGGGAAAACCATGCCCATCCCTCAGTCCATTGTCAGTGTCTACAGCCACATCAAACAGCTGCTGGAGGACAGCAGGGTTGTCCTGGACCAGACGAACCTGGTTCTGGTGCCGGTTAACAACACCACAGTCTCTTCATGGTGTGTGTTATTTCATTTACCTTTCCCATACAGTCAAGACAGTATATAAAGATTTAACCTCAAGAAACCTTTCCCTTGTTAACCTTAACCTTGTTAGAAAGTATGTAATAACCTTAGAGAGGGAGGATAGGCTTACATGTGTAACCGAATGAAATGAGTAGTGATTGACGTATATGAGCACCTATCAGTAAAGAGTCCCCCCTATTTAAGATCTGGTTGGCTGTGGCCTGGGATGCGTCATGTCCGACTCCTCCCCGTAGCTGTTGTTGACAGTGGACACAGGTATGCGCCATTAGCATGTAGCAAGTTCCGTTTTTTTCTGTATGCGTGGGAGTAATGATTCATTGCTGCTTCCTAGCCTGTCTTTTCTCCTCCTGGTACCCTTGACTTGTTTAAAGTGTATGCTAAGACTGCTAATCTCTCCGGTAAGTGCGAGGCGTTTTTTGAGAACGCAGATTGGTTAGTCCTGTGGGGTCGGGGTTGATATTTTGCGTTGTGTGCAGTATTCCCTGTATCTCCGCTGTATCTCCGCTGAACGGCAATTGCCTGAATACCGCATACCCGTGCTGGTGAAGGGATATTAGAGCTCACTTCCATTTCTTCGGTAAGTTATATAGTTATATGCTGCGAATGTTAGCAAGCGATGTATGCACGTTAGTAATTATTTTTGTGTGTATCTGTCTCAGGATTCTCTCTCTCTCACTCGTGAGTGATCCGTTTCGGCTGTAGTCGCAGTCCTGTTTGTCTTCCCTCCGTCATACTACGAGAACGCTGTATTTTCCAGCTGATCTGGTGGATTGTCGCTGTCTGGTTTCTTTACATCGGTGTTTAGTGTATTTTTGGGTTGCCATTCAATAATTTGTAAGGAGAATATCATTTTGCGGTTGCTCCTTTCAAGTTTGTTTACCTTATTATTGGTATTGAGTTCATTTGTTTTTGTTTATTGTGCCAAAAACTGTTTATTGTTCTGGATTTGATTTGACAGGACTTTATTCCTGCCTGTGCTTGTGATTATACCATAATCAAATTGTGATTTATTGTACTGTTTTGAGATTTGTTTCTTTTTTTGTATTTTCTTTCAGTCGCCGAGGTCCCACTGGTGAAGGGTCTCTTGTGGTGGTGGTGGTGCTCCTTCCACGGTTGCCGTGCAGCACTTTTGAAGTGTTTGGTTGTGTGAGCTGAGAGCACGGTGGTGTGAGTGTGCAAGTGTGCTTTTGACTGACTAGCTTTATGATCACTTCGCCGTGGTGAACCTCGGCCCTGTAAGGTTGCAGTTTTGGTTTTTTTTCAGTTGTGTGGTCATTAGTTTTTGTACATTGTGTTATGTCATTTGTTGCCTTTGTTTTTTTGTTTTGTTAAACACTCATGTCAGCCATGACAAAATTATCCATCTGAAGCCATCCTGGTGCAACTGAGGTTATTGTGAATTTCATGCTCTCTTTTAAATAGGATTTTCTAATAATAAAATGTATTTATTTCATGATACCCACGTTTTTGCCTACCTTTTTACGAGAGTCGAACCTGTGTGACCTAAATTTTTAGGGATCATTTATATTTCCCGGGGTGAAATTCCCATGGGTGGCGTGGCGTAGTCTAACTTTGTGTCTGAAATCTATAGCTTACTACTCCGTCACACATGTATAAAATAATTAATGTTTGTCTTGTAGGCTACTAAGGAGGGATAAAAGGAAGGAAGGGACATACTGCTGCAAGGCACTGTACTTCCCAAACAGCTCCACCTGGCCAAGGAGCCTCTCCCTGCAATGAACTCACTTCCAGCTGCCCCTGTGCAACATGCACATGAAGTGATGAGATTTGAGGAGCCTGAAAACCACGAGGGGGAAGCTTTCCCCCGCCAGCGCACTCTAGCAGCAAGTAAGCCTGTGTTCTCTCCGCCATCTCCACCTCCCCAGTTCCCTACACAATTTGGGCCAGCTCCTCCTTTCCAGCAAGCTCCTCCACCCCAGCAAGCTCCTCCGTTGCAGCAAGCTCTTCCATTTGCGTATGCTCCTCCATATCCGTATGCTCCTCCATATCCGTATGCTCCTCCATATCCATATGCAGTGGTGTAGTCTACGTGATACGCAGGTATACGCCGTATACCCACTAGAAAATGTCAAGGATTTGCGTATACCCACTAGGAAATGTCAAAGATCTCCGTATGCCCACTTTAAAAAGCGTGAGGATTCGTAACAACATCGTTTTGTGAAATACATTTCCTACGACATCAGCACCCCTAAACGTTGGCGACAGAATTCCGTGTTCCCTGAGTAAGTTCTGTTATCAGATTCAGCGCGCGAGCAGAGAGCACGTCAAAAACAGAGGACAGGGTGTGTGTGTGTGTGTGTGTTCGTGTTCATCTGAGCCTCATTGGTCTGTCACTGCTCGTCAATGTCAGAATATTTGAGATGACAAATCAAATCAAAGTAGGCGGGCTTTAAATTCACAGACGCTGAGCGCGAATTTCAGCAGAGCAACTCGACGCTTCAGTTTACGGGCAAGTGCAAGATAAGATGTAAGTGGCTAAACTTCATATTTTACATTTTTTAGGTCATAAATGTTAAACGAATGACAAAAAAATAACCAGGCAAACTAATATAGTTTTGTCTAATTTCGCCATTTTGAACTGAAATAAATAGGCCTGTAACGTGACTCATGCAATTTAATAGTTTACTGTCATTGCGAGGGGACAAGAAACATTAACAAAGCCGTTTTCATCATTTTAGCCACAAGAGTAATAACGAATGTGTACATATTGAGAATATAATAAAAATTGTAGCCTTTAGTAAGTTACATTAAAAAAGCTCATCGGGGAAGAGAATCTACTGCCCACTGACATGGTTTTAAAGCTATTTCTTATTCTTTTTTTGGTCTTCAAACGTCTTGAAATGCACATCAGAGAAATTTAAAAAAAATTGAAGCCCCAACCTCAAATTTAGGACCTCTTTGATTATAAAGCCCTGTCTATGGCCCTGTAAGATCAATGTGTAGCCTATATGTTTTGAATGCATTTAATAAACTTAATTACCTAGCTTTAGTAACTTTCAGTGAATAAACGTGTCAGAGAAAAATTATTCATAGGGAAAATCCACCTATCAGTTGACCCCATGTTTACTGTCTTCACTGACTGATAAAAATGAAAAGCCTATATCAGTCAAAGCTCATCTTTAGGAGGGGAAGAGACAGGGCAAGATAAAAACAAAGAGAAAAAGAGGGTGATGCTGATGAGGAGAGAGAAATAATCAGCTGCCCACTGACATGGTTTTAAAGCTGTTATCTATTATTATTATTTATTTTTATTTTTTTGGCCTTCAAAACATCCTAAAATGCACATATGTAGATCAGAGAAAAAAAAAATTTCTCAGGGAAACCCTGAATCCCCATGACTAACCTACCTCACATTTGGGACAACAGTGATTATAAAACCCTGCCTTTGCATGTAATGAAACTGGTTAATAGTGAGCATTAGATCCTAAACTAAAGTGTTACCTTTTTTTTAGAACAAATCCTAAGTAATGATCAAAATCCTATGACGCCCCTGCTTCATGCAACCTGTCAAAATCAACGTTTTGTATCACTTGAAGAAAATATAAAAGAAATATATTACTATTGCACAGTAGAGTATAGGCCTATTTCAAGAAGGCCTAATAATACTAATAATAGTTTATTAAAACACACCAAAGCTCAAATTTACAACAGTTTATATGATAAATAAAGTAACTCGATGGAATTATGAAAGAAATTGCATAGTAAAATGTAATTTTTAAAATAATAATCAAATCTATTAAAACAGAATTCTAAAGGAATATCACACAAGTTTTGAAAATTTTTCGCAAATGGGTGGTAGTGGCAGCGGGGGGGGGGGGGTATGCTGGTATATCACAGTATACTCACTACAAAAAAGTAGACTACACCACTGTCCATATGCTCCTCCATATGCGCATGCTCCTCCATATTCGCATGCTCCTCCATACCTGCATGCTCCTCCATACCTGCATGCTTCTCCATTGCAGCAAGCTCCTCCAGAGTCCCTTCCATCCCAGCCTAGGCAACATGCCTGGAGGCTGAATAAAGCTGCCCAGGAGGATGAGGAGCTTGTGTCAAGGGGGGAACCGCCACGGAAGAGGCTGACAAAAGAAAACTACCACTACACCTGCAAGGGGTGTGGCCAGAAAAAAAATGAAAGAACTGGACACACCCAGATGAAGGGGCGGTGGTACTGCCCAGTGTGGCGGGGGACACGAGGGCAGTAAGGGGGGTTCCTTAAGAATTATAATTGATAGCATTGCATCATCGAAATTCCGACTACGCCACCCTGGGAATTTCACCCAGAGAATTTAAATTAGCCCCTACAAAAAGGCATACACAAGTTCGTATCACCCAAAAGAGTCAGAGACATTAGTTGTCGTAAAAAAAAATCAGTTTTATTGACAATTCTTAAAAAACGAGCAGTATAAAAAAAAGGATGCTTTGTCCGAATTTAATGAACCCCTAGAGGTTTAGCAGCAGGTCTAGACAGGGATGAGAGACACCGAGGCAGAGAGTCGTAGCGTACCACCGACAAGTGCAGAACCACTGCACTGTGCTCACACACACACACACACACACACACACACACACACACTCACACACACACACACACACACACACACACACCAGTGGTGGTAAGTAACGAAGTAAAAATACTTCGTTACTCTACTTAAGTATTTTTTTGGGGGATCTGTACTTTACTTGAGTATGTTTTTTTTGCATCTACTTTCACTCTTACTCCACTACAATATTAAAGGCAAAATGTACTTTTTACTCCGATACATTTCTCCGTGCCCGCTCCGAGTATTTATTACACTTGGCTTTCCAAACCAATGAAAAACATGGTTTTCTTTTGAAAAAAAAAAAAAAAAAAAACCCGCACGCGCTCGCGCTCTTTGCCAGCACGCTCGCTCATAGCAGTTCATTTCGTCAGTTCAGTGGAAGATGATGACCGCAAAAACAGTAGCAGCTCTCGCTGTCAGCAGAAATGATCCCAAGATTCCCTACAGAGATCACCCATGGCCATCTCAAGGATATGTTTGAATTCAATGAAGTTTGGAGATTCGTATCGGCTGAAATGTCTTCTTTGCCTGCCACGGCCGTGTTACAGTGCATTCTATCTGTACCACGCGACGTAGCCTACACATCACACGTGAATGAATAGACGAATCCGACGAGCGTTCTGTGTAGGCTGCCATCTTGTGGCGACGCCATTACTGAGCTGTTACACAGGCATAGACATATGCACCGGTATGTAAACAAACCTCGGTGATAACGCGAACTCACCCTCGATGACAGCTACAGCCAGGCAGAATGACTTGTTGGTTTGATCTGTGACTGCAGTGGCCTCCAGTCACAGATGAAGGTACAAACGATCTTACAGATTAACGTTATTTATGAAAATAGCTTGGCAAGGCTAGGCTAGGCTAGGCTAACGTTTGCTAACGAGGAAACTACAAAAAGATCTGTCCATTTGGCAACAATAAATAAATAAATGAATGAAATCAAATAAACAAATTCATGTTTTTCATTTGTGTCCATTATTTATCTCATTTTCACATTGCAACAGGCAAGGGTAAGGTAACGTCACAGCTAGAAAGTATACATAATATCGACCAATTATTGTTTTTAAACCATGGAAAGAGGTCAATATAACACCAGGAAAACAATTATGTCACATAACGTTACATCTATCTCAGGAAAGCCATTTAATGACCATAGCATGTTAATTGAATAGAAAAAATAGCAAGAGAGGAGATTTTGCTGATCACTATATCACATATTTATTATATTTTTTTTACTTATGTCATTAAATAATTGTTATTATACGCGAATGTCCACGTCTTGTACTCGCCCAGGAAATCTGTAAACCGTACGGCACCAGACAGGGGCACTCGACCCGGGGTATTCACAATGTTTTCTCTTCAAAATCGAAATTTTACTGCCACCATTGAAACAATTTATAACGGAAACTGTTTACCGACTCGACATTATACAAGGGATAACGTTGTAACGTTAGTGACAGTCGTAAATCGCGGGCTGTTTATTCCAGTGGACGCAAGTTGCAACTAAAACAATAGGAGGCAATGGCGCAACGCCACCCAGCAACAGCTCAGTAATGGCGCCCCGCTTACTTCCGGTAGTTTCGCCGGATTCGTCTATAGGTACGGGACACTGCAATTCACCAAAGTTGATTATTTGCATAAGCCTTGCCGGTTAAACATTTAATTCACGTGATGATGCGTTGTTCTAACGTGCGCTTTCCTGAGCGCATACTCGACGCTCGCAGGCACCAGAAGCCTGTCAAACAGCGCCTGAATACTGGACTAAGTTATCTTTCGAGTCTTGTTATGCTAATACTGTTAAATACACACAGCGTTTACTTAAACAGAATTGGCTATGTCGAAAGCAAACATTTGAGAGAAAATCTGGTGTAATATGCGTCTACATTAAACGCGTCGCGTGCTGGTCTAAAAGCGACAGTGGTAAATAGTACTGCAGCTTGTACTTAAAGGGATAGTTCACAAAAAAAAACATAAATTTGTCATTATTTACTCACTCTAATGTTGTTTCAAACCTGTATTAATTTCTTTCTTGTGCTAAACACAAAAGAAGATTTTTTTTTTGAATGTGGTAAACAGTTGCTGGTCCCCATTAACGTCCAGGAGAGAGAAAAAAACTAACGTTAAACACTGGGGACCAGCAACTGTTCGGTTACCCACATTCAAAATAACTTTTATTTTCAACAGAACAAAGAAACTTATTTGGGTTTAAAGCATCTTGAGAGAGTAAATTAAGACAATTTTTATTTTTGAGGGAACTATACCTTTAGTGTTAATAAAACAAACAAACAAAAAAAACACACAAGGAGAAAATCACTCACTGACTGAGAACTTTAATAGTAGCTTTAATAAAAATCAATAATTTTTACAGTGAAGTCTTGTTGCAATAACAAAGAAAATAATAACAAAGATTTTTATCTTCGCCACTGGCCTAAATGTATGCCTTTCTTTTTTTTTCTTTGTCTTTGTTTTTAACAGGGACATTAGTTTGGCTGTAATGAACAGCCACTTGCAAAATAGTAAAACCAACTTGAAAAATAATCGTGATAAAAAATCCTGATCGTGATTTTCCTAAAAAAAATCGTGATATATTTTTGCCATATCGCCCACCCCTGAAATGAAGTAGGCCTATAGCATTATTTACAACCAGTTATTTAAGAGTTGTCAGTCATTCATAAGATCACTTGTGTAAGTAAATGTAGTAAATACAGGTAGTTATAAAGCATTTAGTAGTGGTCAGTTAACTATTTGTGTGAGCTCATCTAAAGTGAGTAGGCTATTCATGACTTGTAAAGCATTTATTAAGGAGATTTAAGGGAGATCAATCTTCTAAACAGTAAATGTAACTGTGATCTAGAACATAGAAATATTTAACAGCCTTTAAATCTCCTGTTATTGTCTCTTATGATTGCAAATCTAACAAATTCTTAATTGCAGTATGTAATCTCATCATTTGTTCAATTAAATAATTGCATATCATCCCCAAAA